TTCCCTCCCCTTTGGCCTTTGTAAAAGTTGGGTTGATCGTCGAGGGCTACACTTTGATCCGAGAATATTGAGTTTTGGAGCACGTTGAGTTTCTTCACCTTCTTTCCTTGAGCTCCGAATTTGAGGTAGGGATTCCTACTCACTCTTATGGTCTTTGACATAGATTTTTAGCTATTTTGATAAAGTGTTGAGGTTGGGTAATTTTGGGACTTAGGGTTTCAAAATGTAAAAAGAAGGTTTTGTTATTTTGATTCTAAAAATGTGTATTGTGAGTTTTAAAATAATGATATTGTTGTTGGTTGTTGACATATAGACCATTGGGTCAATATTGGGAAATGGGGTAGAAAACTCTAATTGGTTGTATAAATTAATTGGTATGATTAATTTGAGAAAATGGTGGTTATATGGAATTGAGTTAGAAATAATGAAATTGACTCATTATGTAGTAGAATAGTGGAGTTGGATTTGTTAATCGCTTACTTTTGAAAACATTGATATTTTATCTGTTGGAGCTTTTATTATCTGTTTAGAAATAATTGCTTGGACTACCGGTGGAGGGTAGTTTTGATTGTTGTAGACAATGCATGATGATTAGGCAAACTAAAACTAATCAATTAGATATGTCATAGAGTATGACGGTTGATAGAATACATTAACGTTATGTATTGATTGATTGTATATATGACCTATGTGTATATACGTTGTGTGTATGGAAGGAGGTAGGGGATGTACTCCACAGTTTAGGGGAAGATAGGGGATGGACCTCTAAACCGGATGTTGTTTAGGAGGAGATAGGGGATGGACTCCACTGATACAGCTCATATGCTTGTTAGTTAATGTGTCGATACAGCTTATACGCTTATCTATGGAAGTGTTGATACAGCTCATATGCTTATCTTTGGAAGTGTTGATATAGCTAATATGCATATCTGTTGAAATGTGGATACAGCTCGTATGTTTATCTGTTGAAATGTTGATACAACTAGTATGTTTATCTATTGCAAAATGGGAAATGTCTAATATGAGTCGTTGTCTCATATAAGTGGTTGGCCAGGTTCTGAGCCGTTGATGTAAATTGTGAAATTGATAAGAAATGGAAACTGAAATGAAACATGAACATAGCGGTCATGAAATGGAAATGGATTATGAATTGATTTATGGAACTTGAGCATTTATCAATTGCTAACGTCTTAGTCATTGCTCATACTGTGTTTAGCATATTTCTACTGGGCGTTGGCTCACCCTATATGGGACATCATTTTCAGGTACAGGTAGTATGCCACCTCCAAGGACATAACTTGGATGATGATGAGAGTTGAAGACTCTTTTTGTTTATTTTGTTTGTATTACATGTATATCAAGCTAAGGGTTTATTTTGTATAGAGTTAGTACTCTTCTTTTGTGTAACCAGGTGTTGACTTAGAAAGCTGTAAGTCCATAGGGCATTTGCTTTTGTTATTAACATGTAATACTATTGTAAGAACTACTCTGATGAATATAAATGGTTGGTTTCTTTTGTATAATTGCTTGTCTAGTGATGGGTTTTATGTATTATTTTGAGGGTGTTACATCACCATTGTCCACTGTAGAATAAGATGTGAACATCTTTTTGTCGGCACAAATGTGGCGAGTAGCTCCAGTGTCCACCCACCATTCTTTAGGATTTCCGACAAGATTTGCCTCAGAAACAACTATAGAAAGATTGATATCATCTACACCATTGGAAATATTGTCCACTTCGGTCATATGGGCTTGAGCAGGCTTCTTGCTTGTTCTTCTTTTATTTTTACCTTTGGTACGACAATCTTTGGCCCGATGTCCCTCTTTGTCACAGATGTAATATTTGCCATTAAACTTGTACTTTTTATTCCCTCCCCCCCTTTAGAGCGTTGTGATGAACTTTCTCCAGAAGACTTTCGTTTCTTGGTTTTTGAAGCATGTTCCACCACCTTTTCCTTAGACTTCATAGAATGCTTACCAGCCCACTTTTCAGAATTGCGGTTGTCCTCCTCAATCCTCATACGCACAATTAATTATTCCATAGACATTTCTTTGCGCTTGTGTTTGAGGTAGTTCTTAAATTCCTTCCAGCCTTGTGGTAATTTTTCAATTAAGGCTGCAACTTGGAAGGATTCACTGAGAGGCATGCCTTCTGCGTGAATGTCATGTAGAATGAGTTGGAAATCTTGAACTTGGCTAATCACAGTTTTTGAATCAACCATTACAAAATCCAGGAATCTGCCAATCACAAATTTCTTTGAGCCGGCATCTTCCATTTTGTATTTTTTCTTCAAAGACTCCCAAAGTTCCTTTGCTGTCTTAATAGGACTGTAGATGTTGTATAATGTGTTGTGAAGTCCATTCAAGATGTAGTTCTGGCAAAGGAAATCAGCATGTTTCCAGGCATCAACCGCAGCAACCACTTGCCGGTTGGTTTCATCCTCTTTCAAAATATGAGCATCCTCACGGAGAAAAGAGCCAGGTTCAGAGTTGTAAGATAGAACAACATTTTCTGTTGCCATCTTTTAAAATCAGTTCCTGAGAACTTCTCTGGCTTTTCACCGTGATTTGCCGGTACTATCACAACAGGAGAGGGGGTTGGCATCATTGCAGCCACCGTAGTAGTACTTGTTTGAGCATTTGTTTCAGTAGCCATTGATTCTAATTTATAAAACAAAATTATAATTAGAATTTATACTACACAGAAAATTAATCCAAAATCACAGAATTATATTCTGTAAAAATAAAAGAAACAAGAATGTAACTTTTATTTTTCAATTAATTTGGAAATAAAATAAAATTTTATTTAACCAAATTAATTCCACACAGAAAATTAAATTTCTGTAACACTTCAATAATTAAAATGCTAAACAGAATTTTAATTAATGAAAACTCAGAAAATAATTTCTAAAAACCAAAATTAGTTTATGAAAAAATTCCACAAAAATATATTCTGAATTGTTAATAACACCAGTATATTACTACTAGTTGTCAAAGAAAATAGATAGTATATTACTACTATCTGTCAAATAGCATATAATCACTATTTGTTTTCCCAACCAGAATATTATTTTGTAAATCTATAGAAAATAATTTTCTTAAAAGAAGAAAGAGAAAAGGAAACAAACAAAAAATTCTGTAAACAGAATAATTTGAATCTGTCTTAAGATTATTGGAACAATCTTCTGTGAAAATAAGATAAAATGAAACTAATTCAAACAAAATAAATAAATAACATACCGAATTTATTTATTGAAGAAAATTGAAAGACCAAGTCGAGTGCGTGACACTCTGTCCTTAAGACGGATTCACCCTGCTACGATGCTTACAGTTAAGTGGTGTCTATCTCTCAAGATACAATGATCTTAACCAATTTGTAGTAGCACTCCAAAACAAATTTTTCGGCAAACCAAACCTGTGTTCTAACTCTCTGAATTTTATTCTAAAACTAAAATGAAGAATAATGCACAAAGATACAAAAAAAACTAGACATCAAGAAAATATTTCAGACTGAATATGTTCGGATCCTCTAACACTGCTGGAATGTTGGTATTTATAGGCACAAAAAGCCCTGTCCGAACAGGTGTGAATCTGTCCAACAGATTCAATTCTGAAAGTGAACAGATGCAACCTGTTTTGAATTCAAACAGATTCTATCCGTTGCACTTGGAACAGTTTTATTCAATCAATTTGAAAAAGTATCCGTTGCTGGACAAAGTTTTAAACTGTTGGAATATATTTTATTAAACTATTTGACTAGTTTAATCAATAAAGGACGAGGTACAATCTTTAGGAAACTATTTAGGAACCCAAACTTTGAATTTAGATTTAAATTAAATTTCCACAATAATTTTTTATTGAAAAAATTCAAATGAATTTTGTCTAAAAAATTAATGTTAGACCCGAAAACGACGTCATGTTCCCATTTACTCATGAATGGTTTTGATGAACCATCTTCACTGTGTGACTTGACACGTGGCAAGGAACACTTCACCTCTTCGGACCCACCCCAAAAGACATTTGGGGCCCACTCAATTTTGAGCTCAAAGTTGACCCAAAATAAGCCTTATAAAACACCATTTTTCCAACACCTCCATCATCTCTTTTTTAACACACAAAACCCATTTTTTTTCGACCAAGCAACACACATACCAATATATATAGAGAGAGTGAGTGTTGAAGTGTTGCTTCAACCTCAGAGAGAGAGAGAGTCGGTCTGCATATGTGAGAGAGAGAGAGAGATAGTGTGTTTGTTAGGTGTCTTTCTTTTCATTTTTAAAATCAACCTTCCCATGTGTGAGTGTCTCCTTTGTTGTTTGCCCCAGATTCATCCATGCTCTCTTTCTTTTTTTTATTCTTCCACTCTCCCCCTTCATGATTCTCCACCACCACCCTCATATAATATTTATCTTCTTCTTTTTTTTATTATCATCAATTCTATCCGCCAGTGTGCTCTTCCACCAGAGAGAGATAGATCAACCATTTTAATTTGTTTTTTTTCTTTCTGTATATCACACCATGCCAATAAAAATATCAATCCCACTTGTGCCACACTCATCATTCTGACCATCTTTTCTTCTTTTTTATTTATTTCTTTTATCATTTTTTTTTATCAAATATCAAAAATGTTTATACCAATTTTGATAAAAACATCAAAAACTATGTACAACACACAAAATTATATAAAAGTATAAAATACCATAAATTCATAAAATATTTTCACTTGGCCAAAATAGGTAAGGTTTGGGATTAAAGATTCAATTTGATTTTTTTTGCTGAGAAATTCATAAAATAGCATATTTCAATTTTCATCAGCGAGTGTCCAAAAGAAAGTGCCCAAGTCTTAGGGCCGGTCAAAATGGGGTGTCTACACGGTGCCATCGGAAAAATCGGGTTTGGTAAGCCCACAGTCTGACGGACGAACAGCTCACTCAGGAACTAGGCCTGACATACTAGGCCCTCAAGTAGAATGTGGAAGCGAGAAGTGGCCCAAACCCCGGCGTACTGGTCCCGTATCCCAGCCGACATCATGGCCCAAGGTTGCCACATGATCTATAAAAAGAAAATGAACAAATTGTTAGTTGTTGTCAGTTGCAAAAATGTGAATCAGAACAGTTGTAAAGCAAAAATGATTGTGTTTTGGGTTACCTCGTGGGCAGCCACTGTGTCAAAATAGTGCCGAAAGAATGTGAATGACTCACGGCTCCTGCGCTGGCACCTGTCATCATACCGCCTCGAGTAGGGGACTGCTAGGGGGAGCTCCTCCATGGGCTCTGGGGCGAGTGTTGCAAAATAAGCATAAACCCACAGCTGCAAGGAAGGTGCAGTAATATGTGAGCACAATGCATGAACAAATATAGAAAGTGCAAAACAAAAAGCATACAACATGAACAGGTGCAGAAAGTGCAAAACAGAAAACACATTGTATGAATAGATACAGAAACTCTAAAGCAGAAAGCACAGGTGAACAGATATAAAGCAGGAAATGTGGAGCAGAAAATGTAAAGTGCAAAGAGGAAACTGGAATGCATACCACCCTAGCCTCCAATCAACTCTCCCCTCAGGCAGGAGGTAGAGCTCATGTAGCTGTACAAAGTGGCGACGCCAGCTCCGCCCCAATCATTAGAAGCAAACCCGGGAAAGGGTCACCAGGGCGCTCAACAGACATAAGCCCACGGTGTTCCACCTATTCAAAAACAAGGTGGTACCGAGGACAAACATCAAAAAGCCTCTGGCGTACTGCTCTATCTCCTCTAATGTCTCTAGCTCGCTCCCTCTGAAATGCTCAGCAAACTAGCTATATCTGACCATAGCTGTCCGGTACAAAGGTGGGCATGCTCCTAGCAACTCAATCCAGGCGGGCTCCTACTCTCCCATGTTTGTGTCGAAAGGGATCAGATCACCCCCTACTCCTAAGCCAGTGAGCATGGAAAAGTCGTAGAAAGTCATCGGCTTCTCCCCGGTAGTGGAGAAGTGGAAGGAGTTGGTGGTGTCGCACCACTGCTCCACAAGTGCTCCTAGAAGAGGACGACTCGCGATGACCCGTGTCTGGCCGAAACAGAAGAAGCTGAAGCTAGTCTCATCCATAATGTCACAAACTCCAGCAAGGAGCTCATCGTACAAATCTCGCGCAGTCGTAGCTCCGTACCCTCTAAAGGCATGAGACTCTCCCTGTGGTAAAGAACAGATGAATCAGATAAGGCAGTGATGAAAGTACAGTCAGATAAAAGGCAATGCAAGAAATGTAGTTTAAAGACAGGCAAGAATGCATGAAAACAGAGTTCATACCTCAATGGCGATGGATGAAAGGTGAGAAGCCGGCTCCCTCAACAAGAGGTCCTCTGGTACACCGTAAGCAAAGTCGTTAAAGTGCCTGATTTGTTCGGGTGGCAAGATATGTGTGTGGAGATGATACCTTGTTGAATCAAAAGGCCGTACCCTCAATGGTAACGGCTCTGGCTCGAGCTTAGGCTCAAACTCCGCCTCGAGGTTGGCCTCAATACCTTGAGCTGCCTTGCTAGCCTCGGCAGCGATCGGCTCCTCCGCTTCAACAACAGGTGGAAAAACGAGAAGAACCTCAAGAGGAGCCCCGTCATGTCGTGAATCATCCGCCATTTGGAAAATAGGTAAAAAGTAGGTGAAAAATGAAAAAAAAAATAGAGGAAAAAGGGTAAACTTAGAAAAAAGTTAACCCTAGGAGAGAGAAAATGGAAGAAAAAGTCAAATCTCGGAAAAGTTCACGAAACCTGAGAGAAACTCGAGGGGAACAAGCCTAGAAGGGTGAAAATGAGGAAAAAAGTGTCGAAACAAAAATCTAATCGGTTCAAAGTGAAGAGAATCAAGAGGGTTTAGCGTATAAAGTTTGTGTGGAGAGTTGGAAAACACGTAAAAAGCTCGGATCTGAAGAGAAGAAGTGTCTAGAGAGAGAGAAAGGGAAGAATTTTGAACCTAGAGAAGTGAGGAAATGAGGAGTCATGATGTGCACTTAAAGACTCGAGGGTGAAAAGACCAAAAAATCCCCAAACTGCGGCAGGTGGCTGGCAAGCGACATTGGTGGCCGGTAACACTCTTTGATAGCCGGCAGATGGCCAGCATCCTCCCCTTGTGGCTGGCAGGTGGCCGGTGGCCTTCCTATGAGTCCTAATGTTGTTTTTTGTCTTTGTTTCCCAAAAAGTGCAAGGAAGGTTCATTGTTGGGTTCAGATTGTTTCAAAAGAAACTCAAAATTGTGTTTTGGCGCACGATGTTCATCATTTGTCAACATGAACGAGGTGTATCCTTTTGAACATATTGCAATCCCTCCAAGAGGTAACTCGAAGGTGCCACCGAGTTTACTCTATTTAGACTTTTGTTCTTTTCCGTTGCATAGAATGTGCATCACATATTGCATGCATATCTCGCATCATTTATATTTCGCGTAGAGTATGTTTTTGCTTTTTGCATAGAATGTGATGCGCTCTCACTATTTTGATTTATGATCTCATTCATTTGTACATATATCGCACACGTTCACGTTTGTGCATCTATCGCACACATTCACTTTGTGCATCTATCGCATTTGTTTACCTTTGTGCATCTATCGCACACCCCTCTTTTGTGTTTCATCTCGGGACGTGCAAAGCACGAGCCCGAGCAATTTTTCTTGTATCTCAGGGCATGTGACGCACGGCCTTGGGCGTGTTTTATCTCGGGACTCGTGAAACGCAAGCCTGAGCGGTTTTCTCTTATCTGAGGACGTGTGAAGCGCGAGCCCGAGCGATTTTTCTTGTATCTTAGCTCGCGTAACGCGTGCCCTAGGCGTGTTTGATCTCGGAACTTGCGAAGCGCAAGCCCGAGGGATTTTTCTTATATCTCAAGACATGTGACGCGCAGCCCTGGGCGTGTTGTATCTCGGGACACGTGAAGCGCGAGCCTGATCGATTTTCTTTCATCTCGGGACACACGAAGCATGAGCCCGAGCGGGTTCTCTTATCTCTCTGGACGCGCGAAGCGTGAGCCCAAGTGATCTTTCTGTTTCTTGGGATGTGTGAAACACGATCCCGAGGGATTTTCGTTCTTCAGTTTCTCGAGACGTGTGAAACACGATCCCGAGTGATTTTTGTTTCTCAATTTTTCAGGATGCGTGAAACACAACCCTGAGCGGTTTTTTCTTTCCTCGTCTCTTGTTTTGGCATGGTCACAGTGGAACCTGTGTTGGTTTCAAGCTTGAAGCTGCTCATTCATGTTTTGTTATCTTGTTATTGCTTATCGCATCTTGTTATCGCTTATTGCATCTTCTCGCATGATCATAAGTTTTCAAAACAGCCAGCTTCACGTAGCGTGTGAGTCTAGCTTTCAAAGTTGCATTGTGCATATCATTTGTATCTTGCCCCAGAACTACACTAGTTTAATTCTTTGCAAAGGGATACGTAGGCAACCTGCAGGTGCAACCATTTATTTTTGTCTTGATTTTTTTTCCAAGTCTTACGACCTTGTCAAAATGGGTCCTCTCCTGGCTTTGACATTTACTCACATCATTTCATGACTTTGAGTTCTGTCAAAGAGGGGCAACTCTAGACACCCCATTTTTTACGGTTGTATTCGCCCCCCGAACACCCCGGGAGGGTGAGTCCCGTTCTGTTCATTTTAGGGTCACTACAGCTCGGACTCTCAAATCGTCACGGTTCTTAATCTAAACCAAAGAGTCCAAATCCGGCAAATCGTTTTGAGAAACAGATTTTTTGAAAAGAAGTATCAACCATGGACTGCTTTGCCAGATACAGAGTCGCCACCTAAATATTTTTTATGGGGGAATTTAGGAAACCCTGACTCGGTGCCCGAAGCCACATGGTTCGTCAATCACCAGGAGTTGTCTCGGCTCGAGAAGCTAGGGTACGACTTGGGAAGGTCAGCTATGAATGCACCCCTCTCGCCCGATCCGAAGATATCGCCCTCTACTAACCGTGATATCCGTTTTGAATAAAATGTTATGTGTTCTATTCCAGTTTATAGCCTAGAATTACTATATTATGCGCACTAGCAAACAAGTCATAGATTAGATTGCCTAAATTTGGAAAGAACATTGCATATCCGTTGTTTGGAAAAATACTTTGAATTTGCTACTCGCAAGTAGGCTTAAAATACGGATTTCACGAGCTATTCCAACTCAAAGCAATCCAACTTTCACTCCACGAGGCAATTCCAATAACAGTTTTATAACACATAAGCCTAGCCATCATGGTAAGCATGTCCGTCATGATAGCATTTCACGTACGCATTGCCGAATATGCTAGAATGCATAAATACTTACATGTACTCCAAGCCAAAACAATAAACTGTTAGCAAACATGCGTGATCCTAGGTTCATGCAAGTTTTGACTAATGCGAAACACAATGCAAGATGCAATTAGATAGGCTGCGTAACTAAACATAGGCAATGTGAAATGCAACCATTAATGCACGTATTCAATTTGGAAATTTGAAATACAAATGCAGTTAGCATGATGTACCGAGCCTGGTGCATGCGAGACAAATGTATGGATGCACGCATGCTAACATAAGTATGCTAATTTAAACATGCCCTAATCTACCATCATAAGCAGGTAATATAAAGGGAAGAAAGAAGTGGGGGTTGGAAGCATTCACAACACTCACCCACAACTTATTACAATTCGTCCTCGCTCGGAGGACCAGAAGATATACAGATTAATTAACCTAGACAAGCTAATTAATTATTACAAATTGCCTAATTTAGCTAACAAACTAACTAAGGCTAAGGAAAATAGTAACCGCCTCGGGAAGAGAGTTCAAATGCAAAGCCCGTGCCGGGCTCTTGCTCGGAAGTGCACCGCCATGCATAGGCTGCCTTTGTTTTCCTTTCTTTACTCCTCTGGAGGCTGCCAAAACCTCAGGATTGCTTCTCTGGATACTGGGGAATGCCATTGGCTGAGCAGAATGCCCACCGGTAGTGGCCTGTGATCGCCGGCCATTGGTGAATCTATCGGCAGAGGGAGGATTGCCGGTCGGCACTTAGCACTGCCGGTCGGCAGAAAGCTCCTGCAGAATCTGCAATTGACAGCAACAGAGGGCAAGGCAGTGCATGGCAATACAATTCAAGGCATATATGCACCAATCATGTCCCTTATCATATTAGTGACTCAAAGGGACATGCTCATTGGTTCTTGGACCATCAATCGCGCATTTCCATGCATGATGGCCCAAAACACCAAGTGTGCACGTTTTGATGTCAAATGCAATGCAAACCAACAAACCAATGTCCAATTCCTATCACTAGATCAAGGAGCAAGACATGCATGCTAAATGCAATGCAACCTAGGCATACAAGCTAAGGATGCAACATGGAAATGCAAGATGCACATGCAAGCATGCAAACAAACATGCAAGGTAAGCATGCAAGCAAACAAATAATGGACTTAAACATGATTTGGGTAACTCTAATAATGCCCAAAACAGTGGCCAAAGTGACCAAAATAAAGGACTAAACACATACACACATGCACATGTTAAAGGGGCCAACACTTAGGCACAAATGGGACAACTCTCAAGCACATTTGAAAGAGGGTAATCATGGACATATGGCATGCAAGGTAAGCATTGAAAATCATGTTAAGATGGTGCCAAACCATGCAAACAAAATAGACTAAGCATGCAATAAATGGCCCAAGTACTTGAAGCAAGTCAAAGGGGCTTGAACCATGACCAAGTCAACCAAGCCTCTCAAGGCCAAGAGGGCTTAAAACAGGTCCAAGGCAGACCTAGACCACGCAAAGGGGACTCTTAGATGGCATCTAAGTGGCTCAAATTCAAAGGCATGTACAATGGCCAAAACATGGAACATATGGCACAAGCTCATAAAGCATTAAAGAGGTGTCCAAGGCAAGCATACAAGCATGTCAAAGGGACAGAAATTATGCTACAAATGATGCCAAATCATTAGAATAAAGCAAGTAGTGCATGCTACACAATCACACACTTGAGGCCAACAAGCCAAAAATGCAAAGGGGCTATACAATGCATGCCATGGCCGACCCAAACAACTATGGACAGACCTCTAGCATGGTAAAATAAGCATAGAAGCTTCACAAAACTAGACCTAAAACAAGCTTGAACAAAGGTTTACAACCTAAGGCATGTTAAGGCAATAAAGTGGCATTACAAGGTAGGTATGCTAAGCATGCATGGTGTACCAAAACCAACAATAAACAGAGACATATTATGATATAATAGGCACAAAAAACAGCCAAGGCATGGTCAACATGAAGCTTAGCTAGATGCTCCCTCAAAACATGCGTGATCTTAGTTCATGTCAAGTTGACTAATGCAACACATGCAAGATGCAATTAGAGTAGGCTCGGCTAACCTAAACATGGCATGTGAAATGCAACCAATTAATGCACGTATTCAATTTGGAATTGAAATACAAATGCAGTTAGCGTGATGTACCGAGCCTGGTGCATGCAAAACAAATGTATGGATGCACGCATGCATAGCATAAGGTATGCTAAAATAAATGTGCCCTAATCTACCATCATAAGCAGGTAAATAAAAGGGAAGACACTTGTGTTTTTCCTTGTAAAGGCAGGGAATGCCTTGTGAGGCATCCCCACACATCACCGGCCATGGCCAGAGGCCACCGGCTGGTGTTTTGCTGCCATCGGCAATCTATATTGCCTGTCGGCATTCTTTGTTGCCGATCGGCACTTCCTTTTGCCAAAATGGCATTTTTGGGCAGCCGACTACTGTTCATCTGCTTTTGCAGATATTTTATCACAGCTGTCTTGCATTTGGCTCCCCTCCATACAGTGTACGGAGGGATCTCCCTCTTTAGAAGCTTGTTTGTAAGCTTTACAAGACAAGAAGCTCTATAAGAGGAGCCCTTCTCTCCCTTGCTTAGGGTTAGACACTTTGGAGATTTTAGACAGCCATATTAGGGTTTTGAGTTCTAGGGTTAGGATTGATACACATTCTATCTCTATACCTCTCTCTTTTTACCCTTGTGTGTGTTAAAGTGTGTTTGTGTCTTACTATTGCACACAAACACATAGTGTTTCACCTTCCCTTAGCTATTGAGGTTCTAAGAGGTTGTTTTTGAGGTTTTGGAGCTGGTTTCAACCTAAAAGAGGCTGCTGGTCCACCATTGTTGAAGGGGTCTTCAAGGGTAAGAAACTAGTCCTTTTATTCCCCATTTTTGCATTGTTTTTTTGCCTATCTTAAAATTGTTTTTGAGCTTGGTGTATAATATAAAAAAGTTCTATTTTTAGGTCCTCTTAAATAGTTTGTTTAGAGTGTTTTGTGGTTTGGAGGTGTTTGACCCCTCTTAGGCCTTGAGAGGCCTCATTTTGTGCTATTTTGTGTAAGCTCCGAGACCTTGGTATTTGGGCCTCCTCACCATTGAAATCTTGAGGGATTTCAGAGGTGAGGATGGTGCCTTAAGGTCCCAATAAGGAGAGGGCCACCCCCTCTCCTTGTTGTCCTTTAAAATGGACCATTTTTGGCCTCTTGAGGGAGCATCTAGCTAAGCTTCATGTTGACCATGCCTTGGCTGTTTTGTGCCTATTATATCATAATATGCCTCTGTTTATTGTTGGTTTGGTACACCATGCATGCTTAGCATACCTACCTTGTAATGCCATGTTTAGGCCTAACATGCCTTAGGTTGTAAACCTTTGTTCAAGCTTGTTTTAGGTCTAGTTTTGTGAAGCTTCTATGCTTATTTTACCATGCTAGAGGTCTGTCCATAGTTGTTTTGGGTCGGTCATGGCATGCATTGTATAGCCCCCTTGCATTTTTGGCTTGTTGGCCTTAAGTGTGTGAATGTGTAGCATGCATCCTTGCCTTAATTTAGTGGGTTGGGACCATTTGTCGTGTAATTTTAGTCCTTTTGACATGCTTGTATGCTTGCCTTGGACACCTCTTTAATGCTTTGAAAGCTTGTGTAGCATGTTCCATGTTTTGGCCATTGTACATGCCTTTGAATTTGAGCCACTTAGATGCCATCTAAGAGTCCCTTTGCGTGGTCTAGGTCTGCGTTGGACCTGTTTTAAGCCCTCTTGGCCTTGAGAGGCTTGGTTGACTTGTCATGGTTCAAGCCCCTTTGACTTGCTTCAAGTACTTGGGCCATTTATTGCATGCTTAGTCTATTTTGTTTGCATGGTTTGGCACCATCTTAACATGATTTTCAATGCTTACCTTGCACGCCATGTGTTCATGATTACCCTCTTTCAAATGTGCTTGAGAGTTGTCCCATTTGTGCCTAAGTGTTGGCCCCTTTAACATGTGCATGTGTGTATGTGTTTAGTCCTTTATTTTGGTCACTTTGGCCACTGTTTTGGGCATTATTAGAGTTGCCCAAATCATGTTTAAGTCCATTATTTGTTTGCTTGCATGCTTACCTTGCA